ACATATGAAACTAGAATCAAATTAAACATTTCAAATAGCTAATTTTATCAACTCTTCATAATTAATTAGTTTTTAGCACTGAGAATAAAGGTAATTAAAATAGATTTACTACATGCTATAAGATATCTGCCTCAGGAAGATGAAAGGAGACATTTATTTTTCAGACATTTAACCATTGGCATTTCTACTTTTATTCTCTGGGGATTTTGTATATAACAAAAAAACTTACTGAGTTTTTTTTATTATAAAACTGTAATTATAAAATATCTTTAATGCGTTTTAGTCTACCTGAATTTAATTGCAGTCTGTTGGAATGTTAAAATCCCACCTTTAACTTCTGCAGTTGATAAAAAATTATTTTCTGCTACTATGGTGTATTGTCATATCAGTTTATTTACATTTTTGTTAATTTTTGGAGTGGGTTATATCTTCAGATAGTTTAAACAACTTAAGATATAAAAATATTTGTAGGCTAAAGTTTGTTCCTATCTGAATTCTTTATTTGTTCAAGTTCTTAGATCCTCTCCAGGTAAAAACGTTTATTAATTTCTTATGTATCCTTCCATAGTTTGTAAAAATGCAAACAAATACAAATACATATCTTTGTTTTTCTCCCCCTTATCACATTTAAGAAAGTGGAAATCTAGAGATATAAGGTAATAGTTGATAAGTGTTAGATAATAACTTGGAAAGTCACAGTATTTTTATACTTGAAAATCAGTTCAGTCAATTATGTTTTAGTGTCGTGTCCGCCCCCCCCCCCCCCCCCAAATTATTTCAGGTTGAGTGTACCTGTTTGCTTTGTCTTCAGATTAGAAAGTTCCTGGAGAAGACCTGCCCTTTCTGGAATTGTTTCTGTCTGACCCATCCTATGCAAACTTACTCACTCATGCAAACACTGGGTGCTTTATACAAACATAACCACCTGTATTTTTTATTTGTGTTTCTCAAAGGAGTTTTTGGTAAAATTTGCATAATGACTTGGCTCATTTAGCTTTGTGTATTGTTAAGAGTTCAAATGCTGTGGATATGAAAGATTATAGTTTGTACCAAATAAAAAGGTGCTGTGACAGGCAACCTTCTCAGGATAACTCTGTCTTAGGTATTCAAATCTAATTTGCATATTGAATCTAGACCTATGATTATTAACCCAACTCCATTTACAGTTGATGAAAATTTGCATAAAATTGGTCTTCTTGATAGCTTAAGGTATAGTGAGCAAAATGTTAACTCCTTAGGTAGCATGTACGGTGTTGACTGACTGTCATGATGGAAAACTAATCTAAGCACATTTGGAATACTGATAATCTTTTCTAGAAATTAGCTGTAGTATCATGTCAGAATGTCAGAAACATGGCTGACAGTTTGCCTGTTCATACTGGAAATAGTGGATAGCATGTTTCAAATCCTAGCATCTGTACTGTATCAAATCCTCTCTGAACGAATCTCATTCTTGGTAGGGAGATCATCAGGAGGGGAAATGTGGCTTGTGATTTTATAATTTTGAAAGAAATTTACACTGATTTTATTCACTTTATGTTGGCTTTTGCTTTATTTCTGGCATTAACTGATAACTTCTCAGTCATCTGGTCTTTTATTGTCTGGGGAAGGTGATTCTTTTTACTAAATGTTTTGTGGGTGTATGCATGGATAATGGCTTATTGGGGGTAGTGAGTTGATGTAAGTCTCCTTTTCAGATGAAGTTCCTGACTATTTTCAAAGGTTCCTTGCTTCTTAGAACAGTGATTGCCTCAGATTTGTAAAGGTAGAGGAACATCACACCTCTTATTTTACCTTTCTCCAGCTGGGGTTCAACCTGCTGTAAATATTATTGGTAAGGGTGTTAGGCCATTGAATAGGTCTCTGTGTTTGAACTGCTTGATTCTGTCAATTTCACTGAAGTCATTACTCTTTGTAGGACCTCAGGCTGATATCACTTTTGAGGTGGTGACTGAACAAACATCAGTCCTTAAGTAATACAGTTTTCTATTAAAATGTTTCTCCTTTTATCATGTGAGTAGTCTCTATGTCTTTTAAAGTAGGTTTTTAATAAGATGGTAATGAAATAATATTCAGTATATTTACTTTTATTTATAAAGTTTTAGTTGCCTTGAGCAAATATAATGATGAAAAAACCTAGATGAATATATATACACACACACATATATATATAATATTTTGTAACTTTATAAATTATTTCTGGCTAGTGAGCAACCTTAGTGTATTTAAAGTATTAGATTTGTACCATCCATCCACTTTATGTACAATATTAGATTAGGATATGTGTTATACAAAGGGAGGCATGACTCTCTGAAACCTGGCATGTTTTTTTTGTTCCCAGATTCTGTGGTGTGCTGAATGATAAACAGTCATGTTCTTAGATTGATCCCGGATCCCCTGAGGGAACTGGCAATTTCCCTTGGATGGCATTCAGTTTTCTTCCTGCCTTGCTCTCCCTGTGGCCCACACTTAGGTCAGATTACTGAGAAAATCAGTGTTATTGATGAATCCTTTGTACATCATTATAAGAGGCTCAGTGCCTCTGAGAAATAGCAAAAATCATAATTAAATGCAAGTGGTCACAACTTGTTTAATTTTGAGTTAATGTAGGTTAATCCAATGTCATTGATCACCTAGGGGTTGCACTACTTGGGGTCCATTTATTAAGGATCATAATGATTCTTATTTTTTCTTTGAGATAAATGAATGTTGGAGGATAACAAGTTTTTAGTAAGTTTTAACAAAAGTTTTTTTGGAGGGAGAATAGTAAGTGGTGATTGAAGTTTTGAGTTTAATGAGTAGAAGGAAAAAATAAACTGAGAATTGATTTACATTTGTCCATGGAGAAGAGGGCATCAGCACTCTGAGAGTTTCTCCTCTGGTAGTGAGCTGGTAGTTGATGGGGATGAAGATGGTGATGATATAAGCAAAAACCTTGGAAGATCAAGCACAGGTATAATAATAACGTAAAACTTAAGAATTTAGTATGTGGTTATTGCATTGTAGAATTGTAATGGAGGAAAGAACTCTTGACAGCATTTAACTCAAATGTGTCTTAGAGCTAAGAAAACTGAGGCCCATAGAGAATGGGGGACTTGCTCCAAGTTATTGAACCTAGTTAGTGGCAGCCTGGAATCCAGATCTTATTTATTCAGCCCAGCACCTTTTGCTACACTATTCTCCTTCCAAGTTTATTGGTTATACAGAATTATTGTTGGGTTACTAAATGGTTAGCTATAATTGAGAATGGAGGTTGGAAGACCTAATGCAAAAGTTTATTTCACAGTTCTGCTAAAGACCAGGGCTACTGACAGTCAGTTAATAATAGTAACTAATGTAGCACTGAGGGCTTGCTGTGTAAGAAGCACTGTATAAAGAGCTTTATGTGTACGTGTATGTAATCCTCAAAAGAGATCTGTGAGGTAGATAGCATTATTATAATATTTTGTGGATGCGAAAGCTAAGTCTTAAAGAAATGAAGTAATTTGCTAAAGATGCATACCTACTGAGTGTGGGAGCACAGATTTGAACTCCTATCATATCCCATTCTGCTGCCCATTTTGTCAATCACCATATAAGGGAAGGCCTTTGAACAAATCCAAAGCCCTTTTCAGCTCTAACATCCAGTGACCACTCTGGATTTTAACTTTTTTCTTCTTTTTTATAAAAATTTTCTTTTCAGTTATAGAATGCAAATTAGCTAATTGGATCTCACTCTAGCTTCCAAGAAGATAGACTCCTTTATGTGGTAGAGTTCATTCAGGAAGGTCTACCAACCCTTAGAAAGGAAGGAGTGAAGTGAGCTTGCCATTATTTGGTCATCAGGATTTCAGACTTTTCCCCACTGGTTAGTGATTTCTTTGTGAAGTGGTTTTAAACCATTTTTAAAATGGTATAATTATAGTCTTTTGAGTATTGATGGCAAATGAACAAGTTACCCAGTTTACCTTAGATTGGAAAATTGGAATACTTGCCTACCTCTTGTTTTTCCATATTTCCTTCTTTCTCCATGATTCCTCAGAGATTACTGATAGATTCAGCAGCCTCTCCTGCTTGTTCTCTCATTACTCTGGGATGTCAATTACCTGGCTGGACTTAGAGCATTGAGGCACTTTATTCTTCTTACTAGGCCTCTAATTCCTTGTAACCATATTTATTGTATTCTTTTCTAATCTGAAGAAGATGGACACATCCAATTTCTCAAGGAAGAAAAACTCACTGGTAATCTTTTCTCTGAGTCCCCTTTATTGATTGGGACTATAGTCCTGTTGTACTGATTAAATCTCAGAAGGATGTAGATTTAGGGAGTGGCATTCACTTGTTCCCACTGTATTTGGAAACAAGGAGAATATTATGAGCAAAGGTTGTATTCTATGAGTTTCTTCCTTCCTACCATTTCCTTTTTCTCCCTATTATTTGCCTCTGGCAAGCACAGTGAGAGAATCGCAATGCTGACCTCAAGGATTTTGGGGGCAAATTTATGCCCTCTTCTGCAGATAATGATTCTTCTTTTGAGAAACAGCTCCTGGCTTATATTGGGCCTTGCTAGAGACAGAATACCTAATCGTTAGATATCAGGTGACCATGTGGCTTGAGCTTCCCATCATGAGTTCCGTATTGTCTGACCTATTTAGCCATAGATTGGAAATGAACAGCAGCAATCTGTTATTGAGTGGAAATGGTATATAAGCTTGGGCAAGTCTGGAAGGTGTAAGTAGGTTATATGAGCAGGTGGCTCAGATGCCTTTGATGCCAACTTCTGTTTCATTGCTTCCTCTCCTTCAGTCCATGCCTCTGGCTTCCTGGGAGTTCCTTATGACCAGTGGAGCAAAGAAGAACTAACTTGAGCCTGGTTTATAAGTGAGTCTGCATGATATGCTGGTACTACTCAAAAGCAGACCTCTAGCACTAAAGCCCCGCTCAAGACTGCCCGTGAATGACAGTGGTGAAGGAAAATCCTTCCAGTGGGCAGAACTTTGAATTGTATATTTTTTTGCCAGCTATGTTTGGAGTGGGAGAAGATTGGTGGCAAGGAAGTCCAGGGAAGAGTTATGTGAATGGACCACTCAGAATATCCACAGACTGTGAAGATTGTGTCCCTTGTGACTGCCCACCAAAAGGCATCGACTGCAAAGGAGACTTACTAATGAGGTGGATAAAACGATGTGCTCTGTGAGTGTCAGTTAGCTTCTTTCTCTAGCCACCCTAGGGCTTGCTCAGTGGGCTCATGAAAAAGTGGCTGTGTTGGTAGGGCTAGAGGGTTCATGGTTCAACAATATGGACTTTATCTTAACAGGGTTGATCTGGCTAAGGCTATTGCTAAGTGCCTAATCTGCCAGGTGCAGTGTCCAGCATTGAGTTCCTGATAAAGCACCATTCTCCAAGGGAACCAGCCAGCCATCTGGTGGTGGTTGATTACATTGGACCTCTTCTGTCATGGAGAGGGTGAAGATTGATCCTCACTGGAATAGCCACATATTCTGCGTATGAATTTGCTTTCTCTACCTATAATGCTTCTGCCAGCACCACCATCTGTGGATTCACAGAATACTTCATCCATTGTCATGGCATTCTGTGTTGCATTCCTTCTGATCAGGATTTATTCCACAACAAAGAAGGTGTAGAATGGGCTCATGTCCTTGGAATTAACTAGTCTTGCTATAGACACCATTACCTGAAAGTGGCTGGCCTAATTGAAAGGCGGAATGGCTTACTGAATACTCCATTACAGTATTAGTCGAGAGACAATACCATGAGAAGGATAGGGTTCTCTTTTACAGAGTGCAATGTATACTTTGAATTATATACTGCTGTCTCTCCTGTAGTCATAATTCATGGCTCTAGGAATCAAGAGTTGGAAGTGAGAGTGGCTTTTCTCACTGTTACACTTAAAATAACCCACTTGCAGAACTTCTGCTACCTGTCCTAGGATACTGAGCTTTGCTGGTTGGGAGATCTTAGTCCACAAGGGGAGAATGCTTCCACTAGGGGATGCAACGGTGGCTCCATTGAATTGGAAGATGAGGCTGCCACTTGGCCATTTTGAGATCCTTATGCCACTGAACCAACAAGCAAAAAAAGAGGCTAATTTATTCCCTGGATTGATTAATCCTGATTACCAAAGAGAGATTGGGTTACTGTTATATAACAGATTCAAGGAGACGAAATCTGGAATTCAGGGGATTTTCTGGGGTACTTCTTAATACTTCTATTCCCAGTAAAGATTAATGGAAAACTACGTCAGCCAAAAAAGGGCAGAATGACTAATGACTAAGATCTTTCAAGAATGAAAGTTTGGATCACTCTGCCAGGTGAAGAACCCAGAGTAGCTGAGATAGTTTAATCTATAGAGCTTCCATTTTGGCCTTTTTTGTTTTTTTTTAATCTTTCAGGCCTATGCTTGATTTTTTTGAACATATGTAATGTAGTTAGAGCTTTTTAATCTATTTTGTCTTCTAATTCTAACGTCTGTGTTAATTCTGGGTCAGTTTTGGTTTACTGACTTTTCTCCTCGTTGTGAGATTTTATTTTCCTTAGTTTTTGCATGCCTGGTAATTTTTTATTGGATGCTAGACATTGTAAATTTTACCTTGTCAGATTCTGGATATTTTTGTGTACCTATAAATATTCTTGAGCTTTGTTCTGGGATGCAGTTAAATTACTTGGAAGCAGTTTGATCCTTTTGAGCATGACCAGGGCCATGCTCAGTCAAGGGCTGCTACTGAGGCAAGACCCTTCTGTGTACTCTACCCAATATCCCATGAATCAGGAAGTTTTCCCATCTGGCTGGAGAGAAGAGGCATTATTTCTAGCCTGACTGAGCTCTGGGCACTCTTACCTGCATTCTTTTGAGGTCATTCTTTCCCTAACTTTGGGTCATTTCCTCACATGTGTGCACTCATCAATACTCAGTTGAGTATTTGAAGAGCACCTTCTTTTAGATCTCTGGAATTCTCTTGCTGTGTGGTTCTCTTCTTTTTGGTACTCTGCCCTGCAGACTATAGCAAACCTTGGTTTCCCCAAACTCTTAACTCTTGTCTTCTTGACATGGTGTCCTCTGGACTGTCTTGGTCAACTACAGCTCAGACTGAAAACTGTCAAGGCAGTAAGCTGGGGCAATTTTAGGGCCCACTTCATCTGTAGTGGACCACATATTCACGTAACATTTAATAGACTGGGATTAAACAGAAAAATAATTGATTACTTAGAAAGTTAAAAGAAAACCTTTCTGCATAATGGGAGTCTGTTTTTAGTCATTTATAACCACTTCTTAATCATGGCAAGATATTTTGTTTTTGTTGAAGATTTGTGTCTCTCCAGATTTTTTCCTTATAAATCGTGGAAGGGAGAGAAGAGACAAAGTAGATAAGATTGACCTGATTGCCTCTGCAGGTTTGTGTAAACAGAAGCTGAATGTGTAAAATTTCAAGGAGGTAATAGAGAAGTCTGGCAGTAGAGTTTATCTGAGTACCAGAGAATCATTTGGAAATAAATGCAGGATGAGAAAAGCAAAGAATAAAAAGAGAAGCTTTTGAAGCACAGTATTCTTAAGGTCATGTCTTCAGGATATATTTCTGTGTTTATTTATTGATTGGAGATCTGCTTAATGTATATTGGAAAACTTACCAGGCTGAAGGAGTTGATCCTAAAATGCTACAGAAAAGTTGGATATGAAATGGGAAAGAAAGTTAACTTTCATGAAACTTTTAACAGAATCTGTTTCAGTTCAGCGTGAAAATGGCATAGCTGTGTGTCGCCCACTGAGGTTTTGAAGGGTATTCTGGCTGTTTGTGCCAGTCTTACGAAGTGAGGTGGTATTTGTTCGTCTTCTTTTTGCCTTCCTCTATGCCAAGTGCTTTATGTATATTATCTCATCTTCTGTTCTGGACAAATCCTGCGAGGTATGTGGTGTTAATCTCGTTTTAAAGATGAAGATTTTGAGGCTAATAGGGTTTAGGTAGTTTACTTAAGGTCAGTGCTAGCAAGTAAGCAGAGATTGTGCCTGGGACTTGGACTTGTAGGTAAGTATTCTTTATACCTCATCACACGCGTGGCTTGTGTGTTTTATAGTTGCTTTTTCTGAAGGTAATAAACAAAGATTTCTTTCCTTGGGTAAAGAGCAAAAACTGAAGAAGTGAAAGTTGTTCTTAGGTTATCAGTTTATTCTGGTCAACAAATTTATAGAAAAAGGGAAATATAGACTGAGTAGCTTACTTAACCTAGGTTTTGTGTTTTCTCTATTATTCTAATGTAATTTTTGTTGAAATGCTCATGCCTATTTTGTTGCAGTGGCCATACATGTTTCTAAATGGAATTGTTACATACATTTAAATGCATATTTTAATCAATTAATTATGCATTCTTCTTAAATGATCCGTAGACTATCATAGATTTTTATATTAGATGGCACTAGAAGTCATAATATTAGTATTCTAGAAGAAAGATTCAGAGAACCCCTTTCCCAAATAAAATAATCTGATCCTGAAGTACAATTTAAATAACACTGTAAAAGCAATGTTGTTAGGAGACGGGGGTGATAGCTACAGATATTTTTGCCCTTTTTTCTTTCAGGGGGTAGGGAGGGCAGTGGTTGTAAAAATATGGTAGAGTTGAACCATTCAATGCCTGTATGACTTTTTTTGTTTAAGCCTGTTGCATTCTTAGGAATGTTAAATAATGGTATACTGAGATAGCTCTTCATAGATAGCTCACGGTACTTTAAGTCTGAATGTATTCTGTTCTTGAAATAAGTTAACATACATATAATAAATTCTAAGATATCACCATTTGGACAGATAGAAGTTTACTGAGGAGGGGGCTGGCTTGGTGGTGCAGCGGTTCCGCTTTGGTGGCCCGGGGTTTGCCAGTTCAGATCCTGGATGCAGACAAGGCACTGCTTGGCATGCCATGCTGTGCTAGGCGTCCCACATATAGAGTAGAGGAAGATGGGCATGGATGTTAGCTCAGGGCCAGTCTTCCTCAGCAAAAAGAGGAGGATTGGTGGCAGATGTTAGCTCAGGGCTAATCTTGCTCAAAAAAAAAGAAAGTTTACTGAGGAAAGGGGAAGTCTATTGTCTGTCTTAAATGGTATTATTATTTATGGTAATGTCTAAAGCCTGTGGCCAAATTTGAGGTAGTTTTTGAACTAATAAAAATAATTCTCATTGTTTGATTGTGAGAGTGCAATTGGCAGTTTGTGTACTTTTGTTTTTGGTATACTCTGTATACATTAGGAAATTGAAAAATTTAAGAAATTAGAGATCTGCTTTAGGTTTGTTCCTCATTCCAAGTTCATATCAGTTTATGTAACTTTATGTTCTGCTCTATCCAAAAACAAACAAGTAAATAAAATCCAGCGTGTTATATCCTTGACAAGAACACTACTTTGTTGCTGACATATGGTTAGTCATTAGTTGTAGTCAGTACCATACCTTCCTCATTTAATAGCACCATCTGTTACAACTATGACTGATACAAGTAGAGAGGAACCAATTATTTTTTAGTTTGTGAGCATGAAGTAAATGAGAATATGTCTGAAGCTGCCTGCAGTCAAGTACTTTACAACTGGTTTAGTCAAACAATTGGAGCTAGTGCTACCTTGGGAAACGACATCAGGAAAGAACACGAGGATGCTTGTTTAGCATCTTTATCTACTCTTAGCAAGGGTAATGCCTTATAAAAAATAAATAACATAACTAAGTTGTTCAGAAAGATTTGCATGATGTGCTTTGTTTTTAATGATGTGAAACTGCTGGTGTTTGTGGTGTGTGAGTGCAACTAGCATCATGAGAGTTGGAAAAGCTGTTTTTACAATACGGCAAAAATCTTTACAAGAATGATTTTTCATAGACTTTTGGATTTGGGATAATTTTGTACTGATAAATCAAAATTATTAGACATTTATAATTGATTACTGTTCATGTCTATGACTTTATCTGTGTTGTGAAATAAAGTTTTGTACTGCGTGTATGGGACTCTAGCAGAATTACTGGCCTTGGTGGTGGAGGGGGGTTGGCACTGGTTTGTTCTTCACAGCCCTGTGTGTGTGTGTGTTGCGATATGTGTGTGCTATCACTTTTTTGCTATCTCTACCTGGGCTCTTAGAACACTGATTTATTTTTTAAAATAATCTTGACTTTGAAATTATGTGTGGCTGTGTTTTTCTCTGGTCT